TAAGTTAAAACCAAGTGAATATGCTAAAGCTAGTTATATATACAAATATAGTAATGGGGTTAGTAGTGTCGAATAATTTCATTTGATTTTGTTTTTTCTTCCTAAACCAGTGAATTTAAAAACCTAGTGAATATTCTCAATAAATTGAAACACAGTGAATATTACTCCTTCTACATTATATTAATTTAAACAGAATGAAAACATCACACAGTATATTAGAAAAGAAATCTCTGTACTCATGAGTCTTAAAAAAGTCAGTTACGCATTTCTACCAAAGACTTTCAAAATTTACTATGATTTTTTAAGGTAATACATGATGTATAATTATTTTGCTAAAATCAATTCAGAATAAAGTGATATTCCAAAATGCTCATGATCAGTGATACAGAGCTGTACAGTCAATGTCTTCAATAAAGAAAGAATAACATTGAAATTATGTTTAATTAGGGGTTGACCATTAGCAACCTAGGGGGTCGATTTAAAGAAGACAAGTCAGCACAAGTCAGGAAAAAAAAAGGTACAGAAAATTAACCCACTAACATTTGATGGACAGCAGCAAAATATCTTTACAGCATTGTTTTAAAAACTAAACCATATAACTTTTCTCAAGTCTGCCATCTCCCCTCCCTGAGTTTCAAATGGTCAACCCTTTATTTTGATAAAAATACTTTATTTTAGCTGGAATTAATTTTCGCTGAAAAGACTTTTTGGGTGTTTTTTATTTTCACTGATTTTTGATGAATGTAAAATATAGAAAAAAAGGTATATTCGCTGGATTTTATTTTCACTGAATTATTCTGTTAGCAAAAACAGCGAAAATAAAGTATGTTACAGTAGTTAAAATAGAGGGTGGTATAACTTCAACTATCAACTTATTCCTATGTTGATTGTGGGTGCTATGACTTGAAAACTACATTTATTTCAAGCAGCATAGAGTAAGAAACCACTGAATGTTGTATATCTATTCTCATTACTATGTAAGGAATATCCTGCCCATAATCTTAGCCAGACTTCATCATTAGCTTCCAACTGGACAATAGCTTGGTTACCGAGCATATCGTGAGCATTGTCATCATCCCATACGGATACCAATATTTCGTTATTTAACATCAGATTTACGTATGTTCGCCCGCCACCAAAGTTTTTTCGAATGCTGTACATAAATACATACGTACCCGGGATTGAGCATGTGAATTTGCCAGTGACCCCATCAAAATCATTACCAATATTTGTGCGTGTTGTGTCAAATGTGACAGGGGTATTAGATTCAACGGTAAGCATTGCTGTTACTCTCGTTGCACTGAAAGCTGATTGTCTCTGATTGCCAGCCTGACTTCCGGTATCTCCTTTTGGACCAAGTGGGCCTTGTGGTCCAGCTTTGCCAGGCTGACCAATTCCAGCTACACCAGCGACTCCGGGTTCACCTTTTTCTCCAGGTAGTCCAGGCAGTCCATTGATACCATTATGCCCTGGTACACCTGAATTCAAAATAAAGTCTATTGGCTACATCAAAGAACATGGACGAAGCAAAACCAAACTAAACCAAACTTAAATGTAGAGACAATATGCATCGAGTTAGAAGAGTCAAAATCTATTGTAGATGATGTGTATTTACCTGGCATTCCAGCAGTTCCTGTGCAACACATACATGTACCACATGTACTCTCACTGTCTTGACTATTACTATAATGTAATGTCATGAATGCAATCATGACCACCATTTTTAGGTAGTGCTCCATTATCAACTCAATAAGGACTGATGGGAAAAATAAATCAACACTGGTATATATTAGTTTGTGTTAACTAGAATGTTTCAGTCAGAACATTTATCGGTAATATCTATTTGTGGCATTTTTAATATTTGCTGATTTTTACTTTGAAAAATGACTTTTGCAACTCAGATGGCAAATAAGGAATCCTATATTTAGTGACTCATCGACACCCTAAAATGATGAAAACTCAATCTACAAACCAGCTAGGCAATGTTCAGCTCACCGAGGTGGATATTTTGTGAATACTGTTATTCAACTCATATTATTTAACATGTTATTAGTATATTTTTCAAACAAAATTTTTCCGAAAATATAACTTGAATTAAATTATTAAATGAACAACTGGTCACAGGTGCATGTCTTTTTTTATTGCA